GGTTTATTCTAGATATTTGAATAGTTTTTCTTAAAGTTAAACTCTTGCTATCACAATAGACTCCTTATGATATTTGGTATCTAAATTAAAAGGTTTATTCTACAGTAAAAACTGTTTTTATCTCTGAGCAGATTGTTGATAAAATTTAAAAGATATGAAATACAAAAAGTAGATATAACTAAAGTAGTTTTTCTTGGAGTCAAGCTTGGTTTCATCTATCACTATTATTAGCAGACTCTTCAAGATATTTGGTATTAAAACTAGAAGCTTTATTCTAAAAATAAATAGGGTTTAAAGCTATTACTACAATAGTATTAGCTTAAAGAATTGTCTATACAACTATAAAACTTACAGAAAAATCTTATACAGTCTTGTTGGCCTCTATTTTATTTTTAAAAAAAAATTTATAAAAAATAGATAATTTAATTTACTTCTTCAAAAAATCAATATACTCTTTATTAAAACAGTTAATATTGTTTACATCTACTTTACCACAACAAATATATAGATATATATAGGATATAAGTATATAGATTATATACTTTAAATATTATACTTAAGTAAACAATATCTTGTAATATTAATATAAAATTCTAATCTTTCTATAATACCCAGGTTAAAAAAGATATTTTTTTTCTTGTGGTTTTACTTAGATATACTAATTATATAAAGTTAGAGTAGAGACTAGTTTAGATAGTAGTATATAATTTTTATTATATCTAATATAGGCTTATATATAATTGTAACTATTCATGAAATAACTTTTGTTTTTTTTTGTTTTTCTTTTTTTTCTTTTTTCTTTTGTTTTCTTATATATGTTTTTTTACTATATCTCCTTATATCTCTGTATTTTTTTTATTTGGTTTCTTCTTACTTAAATGAAAATCTAAGTAAGTACTAGTATATAGTTATTGTCTATATCAGTTTTAGTTTTTTTTTTTTTTTTTTTTTAATGCATTGGTAGCCTCGCCAGTATTTTTATTAGATCAAAGCAGATATAGTTATATCTTAAACTATTTAAGTTACAGATTTAATATCACTTGGCTTCTTCTATAGGCACCCAAATGTGGTCTGCCTTACTGGTTAAGGCAATTGCCTATACTGGAGGGCTGTATCAAGCTAGCTGGTAAAACTGGATGCCCTTATATCAAAAAAATTCCGGGCTGCAGATTATTTCCAAATTGGCCCGGAGGCCGATTCTTTGTCAAATATCCCCAGTATTCTTGGACCGTCAGTAAATTGACATTGACGATTGTAGTCATTATATAATATGGTATCTATACTGCAGTTGGCATTAGAGATGTAGATATATTACAATCTAAATAATGATTTTTCAAAACAGATTTTTTATATTGAAGTATAGTTGGTATAAACCAAGTTCCTGCTTTCGCATATTATGTTTGCATTTTGAGTTTCTTTTTTTTCGTACTTTAAATTTTCATACCCAAGTTTTTTTTTGCATCTCCAAGCTTTTTCGCACACAAGTTTTTTTTTTTGACCTTTTTTTTTTTTTTTTTTTAAAACTTGCAACAGGTGTTCTTTGTTTGGAACTGTTTTTTTAAAAAAATATATATATATTTTTTTTTTGTTTGAACTTATAAAATTTTTCGCTTGTTAAAGCGATGTTTTAGTTTTTTTTTAATGCATTCTGATGTTATAATGTCTTTGATTACAAATACTCAAATTAATATTGCTATGTCTGATAAATATCATAATGATAATAGTGAAGAAACACGCCAAGAAATCACTAATATAATTATGAACCATGCTCAAATGAATACTCAGATATTATACATTCTTGAAGAAAGAGAAGTGTATCGCAAGTTTATCTTGCCCTTAATATGTATCAAAATTGGATAAGAGAAGAAGAGTTGTCTAAAAAATTTAATTTTTTGAAACCTTATAGAATGTACAAAAATAATGAATCTAAGGCTTAGACAGAGCATTATGTTTGTTCATATTCTGGTAATAAGCAAATACGTAATGATCATGTGGAAGGAGGACATATACAAAAAAATGGCATACATTAGCAAAATTTATATACAGATATAAATCGATATATAGCACTTAATCAATATATATCATTTAAAATATATCGATATATATCGATAAAAGTGTTATATATCGATTTTA